GGTTTGATGGTGGACGTTGCAATACAGTTTTAGAAATCATCATTGGTGATGAGACCTGGGTGTACAATTCCGGCTCAGACACCAAGAAAACAATCGGCTCAGTTTACCCGATTGGTGGGGCACTGCCTCGTGAATTCTGATGAGAGCGCAGTGTAGCAAATCCGATGGTGACTGTGTTCATATCCAAAACCCGTCCGGTGGCTACATTACCACTCATACAGCAAAGTAAAGTCATCAGGGACTGGTAAGCCACTCGCTGTCCACTGAAAGTGCTGAAAGCTGTTCCCAAGCTTCATCCACGGACTCGAGCGCGAGAGAGCTCACTACACCATGACGATGCAGCTGCACACAGGTTCGATGTCATCGGCAATTTTTTGGCCAGTGAAGGCAACTACGAGGTTGTTTGCCTACTCTGCAGTCCAGACCTGGTTCCGTATGACTATTTTGTGTTCTCAAGTCTCAAGCAAATGAATCCGAAACGATTCATGAAAGGCTGCGACGAGGAGGCCCTTCTTGAATTGGTCGAAGAGTTATCCGCCTCGGCACGTGGTCGAGCTGCTTCACCAAAATTGCCATGGGGGCATGGAACTGTGTGTACGCTGGTGGAGAGTAAATTGTGAAAATTTAATGCTTATTTCTGTATAACGAATAAATGTTTGTACATCTGAAAATGTTTTCTTAAACCTCGTATAGCTGCTTATTAGGAGACAACCCGATTAAAGTTCAGCAGTGAATGACGAAATGGTAAAAATGAAAACACGATATGAAATAACTGTGCGAAAAAAGGCGAGGGGGAGTGAGGAAGTTCAATAGCCCATGCTCTCATTCTCACCAGACAACGTCTTCGGGATTAGCATGACTGCAGTGTTTTTCCAGGTTTTCCTTCGTAACTCACCAACTTCACATCTGATCCTCCAAGATATACATATAAAAACCAAACAGATCTACATTGGACGCCGTGTCCACTCCAATGCACTTTATCAGCAAGCCATTGAACCATTCGGTCAAGTCTGTCCGTTGTGTTTTTCCCGACTATTCGTCTGCGTTGGATTCTGTTTCCCGATCATCCCTTCTGTTCAAACTTGCATCTTTTGGCACTCAAA